CCTCTCTTTCTCTTTGGCTTGTGATTTTTGTCTGTGTGTTCAGGATATTTTGAAGGTTATTTGTGAAACTCTTAGTTGTTTTCTGTCAAAAGCATTAGTGTTGGTAACAGAATGACGTTAATCTGGAACTACTTCAATTAAGTGTTCAGCTGCAGTATTTTTGGTTTTCACTTTCAGACAGTTTTGGGTCTGTAAACTTAAATAAGTATTTATTTGTGGCTACAAATCTTCAATAGAGGTTTTTCTTTTCCCCTCCATCTTATCAAAGATCAAACCTAGAAAGAATTTTTGTTACTACTTCCTGCATCATAGGTAGTATATTTGTTATTTCTGGTAAGATCTTGCAGCCTTTGGAATGTTCCAGTTTAAAAAACAAAACAAAACATTTAACCATCAGGTTAGGTTGTCCCTAGGCTTAACCTCCAGTACTCTTTTTTTTTGTTTCTTTCTTTTTTTTTGGAGAGATTTTCGCTATAGGGTGCCTGCGCTCGCCAGACAGACAGAGAGAGACATAGAGACAGAAAGCGAGAAATCACCCCCTGGGGGGATGTTCAAGCCGCAATCCCTTCTCCTCCATTCTCCTCTCGGGATCTTGGGCACGCATGCACACGCTCCCGGTGTGTTTTACGCCACCAGGTCTGGGATTCGAACCGTGGTCAACTATGTGGGAGTCCAGCGACATAGCAATTACGCTAACTGCTAGTTCCAACTCTTTGACAGCCATCAAAAGAGAAACTAAATTTCTCCAAGTTTATTATAAACTCTCAGAATAAAAGTCAGTTTCTGTGGTTGCTTTTATGCTGTGATTTTCATTTTTGTTTAATTTTGAGATTCTATACATTTTTCTCTGTTTATAGGCTCAGAAATGTTTTCTCTAAATTGTAATATACACAATATTGTAAAACTTTTTAACATAAATACAGGTATAGATGATACAGATTTTCTTTCGATACATTCAGTGTGACCTAATATAATACTCTTTCCTTCCTGTCTTGGTTCATTAGGGATACAATAATAAACTTTTACAGACTGTATGGCTTATAAACAAGATAACTTTATTTCTAGTAGTTCTGGAGGCTGGAAGTCCAAGAGTTGGGTTCTGGTGAGGACACTCTTCTGGGTTACAGACTTGACTTCTCTTTGTGTCCTCAGGTGATGGAAATAAAACTACAGGAGTCTCTGTGGTCTCTTTAGTAAAGGCACTAAATCTATTTATTTACAATGTCCCCTCATGATATAAATTATGTCCAAATCACATGACTGTATTACAACATTGGGAGTTAGGAGTTCAAATATTAATTATAGTGGAACACAAACATTCAATTCATATTTCACCCTTGGAAAAATGTACACCCATCTCACGTGAAGAATATATTCTTTCCAAACCAATAAACCTAAAAGTCTTAACTTTTTCCAGAATCTACTTTAAAGTCTGAAGTGCAATATCTATGTATCATCAAACCAGAGACGAGTAAGACTTAATATACTATTTATTCTGAAACAAATACCTTTCCAGTTGTGAACATATGAAATAGACAAGTTATGTGCATCCAAAATATGATGGTGGCACAGGCATAGAATAGACATTATCATTCTGAACAGGAGAAATAGGGAAGAAGGAAGGATGACGAGTCCCAAGGAAGTCCAAAATGCAGCAAATAAAACCCTATGAGATCTTACGGCTTGAGAATAATCTTACTCTTTGGTTTCAGGCCCACTAGGGTGGCAGTTTCATCTAATGGAACAATTGTGGTAGCAACAACACCCCTACAGTTGGGTAGTCTTTTCAGCCTAACTGCCCACACTATGGCTTTCTTCTGTGTCTCTGCCCATTTAGCAGTTTCTGTGAAGGGAGGGTACAACCCCCCCATGGCTCCGCAGGGCTGCCCCTTCCTTATTACTCCTTTAGGTGGTGATCCTATCCTTTAAAATCAAGGCTGCTCCCTTCCCTCAGGCTGCAAACCTTGGGTCTTCAGGGGGAATGATATCCTTGATGATCTCTGAATTGCCTTTAGAGTCCTTCTTCCTTTGTCTTGGAAAATATTGTGTGTTCTAGTCCAAACAGTTGTATGGTATGGTCCTACAGGGACTAAGAAGTCTGATAGTCTTTAATTTTGATCTGTTTTGTTTTGTTGTTGTTCTGTGTCCTTTGGTTCCAGGTGGCAGTATTTCTGCTGTGATAATTCCTTCTCCACTTTTGTTTTTTATAGATGTGGTTGATAAACTCCTACAAAATCCTCTGCATGCAAATGTATGTATTTGAAGCTGAACAATTTTCTGCATAGGCTTTGAAACTTGAGCCATAGACTGCACAGGTCCCATTTTGCATTTCAATCATTGTTAATCTAGATTAGAGAAAATTACAAATAACATTCATGACTTCATTAATGAAGAAATATAAAAATTAAACAGTGCTTTGGATTTCAAATACAGAAACTTAAATAATATTATTTCAGGAGATTTTAAGAACATGTTTGGCCCTTCTAATTCACAGATATGGAAAATAAAATCAGAAAATAAAAGTGAAAACCACATTCATTTCTTTAAAAGAATTATTTTTATCATAATAATTATTATTTTTAATTTACTACGGGGCACATGTGTTCATCAGGGAGAGACAAGAAAAAAAGGGAAAGTGAGAAAGAAGGCCACAAGATATAGTATTCAAACTGCAGTCAGCCATGTGAGAGTCCAACACCTTAACCACCATACCATCTGCTGCCCCAAAACCACATTCAATAGTAAATTGTATACCATATTTTTTCCATATATTGGTAAATAGTCAATTTCGAATTATAAAATCTCTTCATATATGTACCCTATTAAAAAGAAGTCTTGGGACCAGCAGATGGTGTAATGGTTTTGTTGGACTCCCATGTGGTCAACTGTGGTTTGCGTCCTGGACCTGGTGGCATGAGACTCACGCCAGGCATATGTGTGAATGTGTGTGTGTGCATGTGACCAAGATCCTATGAGGAGAATGGAGGAGAAGGGATTATGATGTGGCCATCCTACCTGGAGGGTGATTTCTCACTTTCTGTTTCTCTGTGTCTCTCTATGGTACACATGTGCCCTATAGCAAAAATCTCTTTAAAAAAAGAAAAAAAGTCTTTCAATGTTTATATAAAAATAATCAGGTTATAAGTAAATTCAGAACTTAGAATTTTTTGAGAGGTTTTTACTATAGCAAAACTTATAGGGAGCGTGCACTAGTCAGAAAGAGAGAGAGAGAGAGACACAGAGACAGAAAGTGAGAAATCACCCCCCAGGGGGATGTTCATGCCACAATCCCTTCTTCTCCATTCTCCTCTTGGGATCTTGGGCATGCACGCACACGTGCCCGGCGTGAGTTTAAGCCACTGGGTTCAGGACTTGAACCACAGTTGACTACATGGGAGTTCAGCAACATAGTCATTAATGCTAACTGCTGGTCCCCAGAACAGAATTTTAAAAATCCGTGTTTTATGAAAAATAAACAATGTGCTTCATTGCAATTTCATTGAGTAAGGTAATGAATAAATTGCAAAGTCCTCAAATACATGCATACACACACACACTAACATGTTATTTGTGAATGTGAGTGCGGTTGCATATTTAGGAATTCTATGCAGAGATAATTATATCAATATATTTATTTTACTCTGGTATATTGAATATTTTAGAGTTATATGATTAATATAATAAATGGCAATTTATTTTCTTTCATAATAGATGGAACATAGAAGGCCTAGGAAAGAGTAATGGTGTCACTTCAACATCAAGTTAACAAGACAAAAGAGAATACTCATAGTCTGATGCAATCTGGATTTAAAAGCACAAGAAAATAAATTCTGTCCCTTTAGAAACAACTGGTTACTATAGGTCAAGAGCACTTTAAGAGCTTTCTAGTAACTATATGCTTTTACTTGTCTGAATATAAATACATTAGAGTCTCATTCTTACAAATCTCATACTCTTCATGTCTTCCTTCAGTTTCTGTGCCTTTTTTCCCGTCTTAACATGCTTTTGCCAGCGTACTGACTACACTGCATTATTCTTATTTGTTCATAACTCTTTGGCTAGACAGGAAGAGTTATGCCCTATTTATCTCTGTAATTATTTCTGCATAATTGCCAGAAGCTGAGTATCATGAAACAAATATTTATTATATGTATAAACAGAAATTTCATGATAGTCATTTTGCTTCCAAAAGGATCTTTTGTGCTTGCAGACTAGGAAATATTGAGCTAGTATATGAAAAGAGGCATATAAAATGCTTAAAACTGTGTCTGACAGAGAAGTGCTTAATTAATGTTAGCTAATGCCGGTTCATGTTTATGTTAACATTGACATTACTGTGACTATTTTTATTACTTATTTAAAAATTAGGGGTTCAAATAACTGAAATAAATTTTAAATAAATAATTAGAAATATTTATAGTTTGGTGACCTTTTGTATCATTTGTAATATAATGAAACTGAAGCAAAGAGAAAGCAGTAATGACAAAACACTTGAGTTTTATTTCAGATTTTTTTGTGCCAAAATAGTGAAATCACTGAACAGAGTTTTGATAGACCCAATCTTTCAAATGATAGAAATTACATTTTTGTTAATGATGTTTTTGTCTTAGGGCACGTGTGCTCATTCAGGAGAGAAAGACAGAAGCAGTGAGAGGGAAAGTAAGAAATCACCCACCAGGGAGGTTGGTCATGCTGCAATCCTTTCTCCTCTGTTCTCCTCCTTGGGATCTTGGACACACATGTGAATGTACCCAACCTGATTTTCAAGCCACTGGTTCTGGGACTCGAACCATGGTCAACCATGTGGAAGTCTAGAGATGTAACTGCTACACATCTGCTGGTCCCGAAATGGCCTTTCTTGTGAGCTATCCTTGCTTTCATATATTAGATTAAAGCTGTATTTGTAAACTCAATGAACACTGAGATACTGTCACTGTTTGAGTATGAAATGTTGGTCAATGCAATCAAAAGCTTAAAAAAGCAGTCTGTAAAATTAGAATACAAAGAATACCTGGGAGTCCATAAAGACAAAGAGAACTACAGTTCACAGGACACAGATCCAGAAGTATGCAGGATTCCTCTTGAGTATTCAGCAGAGTACTGATTAATACACATGTATAAGAAAGTGATCCAAGGAAGGAGAAAGAACTAAGAAGATTTAGAGGGAATAGTACCCAGTATTTACATAGGGTCTGGAACTATGTCTGCCATTTGTAAAACCATATATTTCATCAAAGTTGAGTAGATTACACAGAATGGTCTTGCTTCAGTATTGTGGGATATTTAATTGTAGAAAAAAAAACGTTCTCATTAACAATATTTAAAAGTAAGATCAAAAGAGATAAGTTGCTAGGAAAAGGCACAGGTAAGTATCTTTGTTCTAGAAAATAGTTCACATTTTTTTTTTCAGGAATAAAACATACAGAGAGCCATCCTGTGGTGTGGCAGTTGGGGTGGCTAAGTCCCACATGGTCTGCCATGTGGTTCAGGTCCCAGAGTGAGCAGCTTGCATGCCCAAATTAAAAAAGGAGAAGTAGAGGAAAAAGGGTTGCTATGTGACCATGACCCATAGGGGGTGCTTTCTCATATTCCCTCTCTCATGCTCTCCGTCTCTCTCTGGCAAATTAAAAATTATGCAGAATCAAAGAAGGTAATATTTACAGTGTATGAAATTCAATAAAGAAGTATGTGGTGAGCAAAGAAACAGAATAACATACCTTTCTTTCTTTTTTTTATAGAGAAATTTTTGCTGTAGAGGGAGTGTTCTTGCCAGAGACAGAAAGTAAGAAATCACCCCCTGTGGGGAAAGGACATGATGCAATCCCTTTTCCTCCGTTCTCCTCTCAGGATTTTGGGCATGCATGCACATGTGCCCAGTATGAGTTTCAAGTCACCAGGTCCAGGACTTGAACCATGGTGGGCCATGTGGGAGTGCAGTGATGTAACCATTACACCATTTGCTGCTCCCAGAAAAATATAGCCTTAATGAGGAGGAAAATTAATCAGTCAAAACAGATCCAGAACTGATGTTGGAGTGAGCATACAAAACAAGAATATTTGTTTTTAAATCTATTATTTTATAATAGACTATATTTCAGATATTAAAAATTTTAGGTAAATACAAAGAAATATCAATAAAACTTCTGAATATGACAATTTAGTGTCTGAAATAAAATGTATATTTATAGCATTAAGGAAAGATTAGATATTGCAGAAAAATATTACTAAACTTTCATAATGACAGAAACTATCCAAATGAAGCACAAAAAAATAGAAAAAAATTAAGACTGTCAGGGAACTTTGTCACAATTAAGGTAGCTGTAATTTTATTGCCTGAAGAAGATAGAGAAATGGGGAGAAAAAAGTATTTGAAGAAATCATTACAATACATTTTCTAATAATAGTGAAATATTTAAAAATTTGTTAGAGGGCATGTGCATTAACTGGGGGAGAAAGAGAAAGCAAATGCCTGGGGGGATGTTATACCACAGTTCTTTCTCCATTTCTCCCTCCTTTCAGGATTTTGGGTGCTTAACAATGTGCCTGGTGTGTTCTTCAAGCCGCTGGGTCTGGGACTTGAATTACGTGTTCATCCATGTGGGATCCAGTCTCTGACTATTATGCCACCAGCTGGACCAATACTAAAACTTCTAAGCTCATAAATCCAAGAGCCTCAACAAAATGGAGCATAAGGGGGCCAGCAGACAATGTAGCAGTTACGTAGCTGGACTCCCATGTGGCTGACCACTGTTCAAGACCTGGACACATTGGCTTGAAAATCACATTGAGCGCATGTGCATATGTGCTTGAAATCATGAGAGGAGAATGGAGAAGAAAGAATTGTGACATGGCCAATCCCCCTGGCGGGTGATTTCTGTTTCCCTCTGTCTGTATCTCTCCCTCTCCCCATGAGTGTATGTACCTTTAGGCAAAAACCTCTAAAAATAATAAATAAATAAAATACAACATGAGAAATATGATGAAAATGAAGACAGAGCCTATTCCAAACAAATTGATCAAATTCAGTGATAAAAAAAATAAATAAAAATACAAAACAAGCAACTAGAAGGAAAAAATATATGTTATATACAGTGTAACAAAAATAATAATGACAGCATATTTCTTAGACAAGTAACAGAAGAAGCAAAAATTTATTAAAATACTAAGGGGAAAAAAGCATCTCTTAGCCCAGATATCTTTAAAGAATAAATATATCTCTTAATGAATAGAAACTAAAATAATTTTTTACCAGAAAAAAAAATACACTGTAAGACATGTTAAAAGAAGTCTTTAATGTAGAACAAATAAAATATCAAATGGAATCAAGTATTTAAAAAGGGATGATACGGGGCTGGCAGGTAGCATAGTAGTTGAAGGGTGCTGACTCCCACATGGCTGATGGTGGTTCGAGTCCCAGACCTGGTGGCTTGCTTTCTCACTTTCTCTCTCTCTCTCACTCACTCTGTCCACCTCTGGACAAATAAAAATAAATAAATAAATAAATAAAGTTAATAAAATAATTCTTGATAAAAACAGGTATGATGTGCACCAAAAGTAGCACTACATGAATAAATACATAATTCATGTAGTTTTTATTATTGAAAACATTTAAAATGTAATTGACTATTCATATAAAATTATTCAGTTGTTGGGAAAGTCATGATATATTTCTCCATGTTTTTCTATGCAAAAATGTGTCATGACTTTTCCAAAGGCCCAATAATAATAATACATTATGAGGGTTTGATTTATAGGTAAAGTATATGACTAAGGTAGCACTAAGTTTGAAAATGAAGAAATGAAAGGGCATTGCTACAAGAACAGTATACTGTACAACTCATAAGTTAAAGACATATGCAATAAACTCCAAAGGAAACTTAAAATAACAAAATGAATAGAAATATTTAACAGCTATGACAAACAGCATAAATTAAAATATGTTAAATGATCAAAAAAGAGAAAAACAATAACCTGTAAGTGGAACAAATAAAGAACAAATAGCAAGATGACATAACCATATAAATAATCACACTGAATGTAAATGGCCTAAAAACCCCAATTAAAAATGCAGAAATGGGGGCCAGCAGGTGGTGTGGTAGTTAAGGTACTAGACTCACATGGCTGACCACTACTTTAGTCCTGGACATGGCGACTTGCTTTCTCACTTTCCCTTTCTCTCTGTGTGTGTCTGTCTTCTCTCTTTGGTGAGCACACATGCTTTATAGTAAATTAAAAAATAATATTAGGTATAAAGAAAATTAAATAATTATTGAAAAAAAGGGACAGAAAAGTTAGATTGCTTTAGAAGGTGAGATTTAACTCTATTCTGCTTCAAGAAACTTTTAATGTACAACACATACAGTTTAGCAATATATACCATCTTAACCCTAAACAAACAAAAAAATAGTACTGACTATTAGTGTAGAATTTCAAAGCATGAAATATCATTAACTTCAGAGATTTCATGAATAAATATAAAGTCACAAATTCTTAAAGTGTATACATTACTACATATTTAGGTACCTGAAATAGAACTTCATAATACATTAGACAAAAAAAATGCTTAAACTTGGGACAACAGGTTGCATGGTGATTAAAAATACTGGATGCCTATATGACTGACTTTGGTTAAAGTCCCAGATCCAATGGCTTGAAAATCATGCCAGGCATGTGTGTATGCGTGTCTGAAATCCCAGAAGGAGGATGGAGAAGAAAGGATTGTGGCATGGCTATCACCCTGGAGAGTGATTTCTCACTTTTACTCTCTGTCTCTTCAGTAAGCGAATGTTTCCTATGGCAAAAACCTTAAAAAAATGCTTGAACTGTGAGAAGAAAGACATATATCTACAATTCCAGTTCACAATTTTAATACTTGTGTTTTAATAACTGACTCTTTTATCAGAAACAAATGGAAAACCAAGTAGGCAGCAAATCATCACGTAGAAGACATGAGAAACACTCTCAATGAACCTGACATGATTGAAATTTGTAGAACACCACATAAAAACAGCAGAATAGACATTCTGTTCTGGTCCATGAGATTGACTTCAATAAATTTAAGTTTTCACACTTTTCAAAGTACATTTCCTGGTTAAAATGGAACTAAATCAGAAATTAATAACAGAAACATCTCTGAAATGTTTTCAAATGTCAGAAACTAAATAATACACTTATGAATAACCCAAGAATCAAAGAATAATAGAGAATTTAGAAACTGGAATAAAAATGGAAAAACAGTATCTCAAAATATACAGAGGTCTTGCCATATGTCTTCCGTATGTCTTACAACTGATAATAAATGGAAAAAAATACATGTGATATTTATTCTCTTGGTTTCATTTTACTTATGTGTGAAATAAACACATAATATGAGAAATACCTTCCATAGTATTTGACAAGTAGTAAACAATTTATGTTAGTCATTATTATTTGTGTTGTTTATTCTGAAATACTGTCTCCCAAATTCAGGTTCTAAATATTTTTCTTTTATTCTTTTTCTTTCTTTTCTTTCTTTTTTTAAACTATTTCTAAGTGAGTAGAGAATATTCAGGGATTGTGCTAACTGTGATAAATAAAATAAAAGAAATAAGTGATCATAGAGATAATTTAGGAACAAATTCGCAACTAGAGATCTACTGGGCCAGAGACTTACTGGTTGGGCGAGAGAATGGAGCCATCTTCCCACTGCCAGGATCCATTTGTTGGAATTTTTGCTAGTCCTATCCAATGATATGACTTCACCAATTTAAAGAAATCCTGTTAAACACAACAAATAAACAAGTATTCAGAATTTTAGTAACTGAAAGGCAATTATCATTAATTCATTTCTTTCCACACTTGGGAAACAACGCATTCTTTCCCCTACCTTGGTAATTCCCACCTAACATATAAACGATACCTGCAATTTTTCTGCTTTCTTATTTTTTATTTTATGTATTTTAAGGTTTTTGCCATAAGGCACGTGCACTTTTTGGAGAGAGATAGAAAGAGACAGAGAGAGGGAAAGTAAGAAATCACTGCGCCCCTCCCCACTCACTGGAGGGATGGCCATGCCACAATCCCTTCTCCTCCATTCTCCTCTAGGGATTTTTAGGTACTCAGGTACATGAGCCTGACGTGATTTCCAAATCGTCACGTCTAGGAGTAGAATCATAGTTTACCATGTGGGAATCCAGTACCTTAACCACCATACCACCTGCTGGTTGCTCTGTTTTCTTATTTTTAATGTAGAAAATTTTGGAGAGAGCGTTAGAATATCTAAGTCTTTGTGACTTTTATATTCCAGGTTCACATTCTAGTGAATTATTTCATATGCTAGGATTAAATATAAAAAAGGAAATTAAAGCAAAATACTCACCTGGTCCACTCTGCTATATATCTTCAGAAGGCTAGCATTTTGAGACATACAAGAAGCTTGACTCTGGTACCAGTTTTTGTTCTCATTAAAAAACTGGTAGCAGTTATTTCTATAACACATCCAGTTTTTAGGACATGGACCACAGTAACTTCCTAGGAAGGTAGAATATATTATTAATTCTGCAAATGTGAGCATTATAGCAGATTTTGTCTAGATAAGTTAAATGTTTTTCCCATTCTAATTCTAAAATTTCAGGTAATTAAACCATTATGGTCATATCAAAGACATATGTCTACATATTCATAGAAAGAAATTGCCAAAACGAAATATCTTCCACTGTTTATAAACATTCCCTTATGTTTTTAAAGCTTCAGTGAATTAGGAACTAGAAATAATCATTCCCATTCTCCCTTTTTAATGTCATTTAATATATGCCTACAACTTGGTACATATAGATGCATATTATTTATGATTAAAAAATTCACTTACCTTCCAAAGAAATTGAAACTTCTTGATTGAATGCTATTAAAATAATCATAATTATTAAAACATAATTGAGTTTCTAGTATCTTTACAGTATATCAATAATAGTTTACAAAGTCCTAGACTCATAGAAAAATATGGTAAGCATACATAGTTAATATTGTTAGTTTATGTTTCTATGCCTCTTAATACTAATCAAAGCAATGCATTACAATCATTATACCAACAGTATTGCAATTGATTTCTCTGGTATCACTTACGATTTACGAATATGGCAGACAATACTGTCACCATAATAATGAAACGGATCACCATAGCTACAGCAATCAACCAACCAAGAAAAAATGGAAATGCTGTAAACAAAAAGAGAGAGAGAGAGAGAAAGAGATCAGAAAAAGAAGGATATTAATTTAGATAACTTTGCTTTTAATATGAACATTAAAGTGTTTTCTTATGAGGTAGTTTATTTTTGTTTGTTTGTTTTGGTCTATTAGCACCATCACATTAAAAACAGATATATATAAAGACTATACTTTCAGGGATCATTTCTATAGTTCGTTACTAGAGAAGTTTCTCTGATCATGTAAAAACAGATATATAGAGATAACTTGTATCTGAAGAATGGTGTCTTTTATCCGTGAATTATTTTTATTTCCTTTATACATATCTATTTTATGTTAACCATGAGGAATTTATGTTAATAAATGTATTTCTAGCTTTTTAATAAAAAATGCTTCTCTCTGCTTTTTCCCCTGATATTTGGTCTTAAAATAAGACATTTTCTTTTAATACACTTTTCTTGTATTTGTTCCTAGGAAGACAATTTATTTTTATATTTTAATTTTAAATTAAGTTCACATATCAAATTTTATTACTTTTTAAATATTTTTCTATGATACATGACTTTTTTCAGTTTAAATGATATATTTTGCAAATAATATTAATAGCAATACAATAAAAATTAAGCAACAGTTGCAATATTAAAATATTTATCTTTTTCTAACTATAATTAAAATATTTCTAGTACTTATCAATAGGTATAAAAACAATTTCTATGTTTTAAATTAAGAATTAATATGAAGGGGCCAGCAGGTGACATGGTGGTGAAGGCGTTGGACTCTCAAATGACTGACTGCAGTTCAAATTCCCAATCTGGCAATTTGCTTTCTTGCTTTCCTTTTCTCTCTCTTTTTGTCTCTCTCTGGTCATATAAAATTAATAATGATAATAATAAAAATAAAATATACAAATTAAATAAATAATTTTCTAAAAAACAATTAGTATGGGGACCAGCAGGTGGCATGGTGGTTAAGGCAGCTGGACTCACACATGACCAAACATGGTTTGTGTCTGGGACCTGGTAGCTTGAAACTCACACCGTGTGTGTGTGTACATGTGTGTTGGAAATCCTGAGAGGAAAGTGGAGCAGAAAGTATTGCATCGTGGCCATCCCCCACTGGGGGTAATTTCTCAGTTACCCTCTCTCTGTCTCTCTCTGTCTCTCTTTTCTCTGGTGAGCACACGTGTCCTATGGCTAAATATATATATATATATATATATATATATACACACATGTATATATGGATTTTTTAATCCAATGCCTTTTTCGTTTTTTAGAGATGTTTTTGCTATAGGGCATGTGCACTCGCCAGACAGACAGAGAGAGACAGAGAGACAGAAAGCGAGATATCATCCCCCAGGGGGGATGGTCACGCTGCAATCCCTTCTCCTCCATTCTCCTCTTGGGATCTTGGGCACGCACGCACACGCACCCGGCGTGAGTTTAAGCCACCGGATCCGGGACTCAAGCTGCAGTCGACTACGTGGGAGTCCAGCGACATAGCCATTATGCTAACTGCTGGTCCCAATCCAATACCTTTTTTAACATTATGCATACAATCATATAATTTTTCTCCTTTGATTATTACATCTGGGGCATGTGTAGGACATTTCTATACTTTACTCTTGGAAAGCAATTCTATATATAAAAAATATTTCTTAGTTTTCATCAAAAATTATAGGTGAGGGACCAACAGTTGGTGTAATGGAGGAGAAGGGATTGCGGCGTGGCCATCCTCCCTTGGAGGTGATTTCTTGCATTCTGTCTTTCTGTCTCCAAGTGCACGTGCCCTATAACAAAAACCTCTCAAAAACAAAAAAAAGTCATAGGTGAGAGAGATTTGTTGTTTTTCTTTCTGTGTAAGCTATCTTATGTCTATTGTCTTTGTTGTTCTGGCTTAGGAAATGACAACTTATTCATTACTCTCAGAAATATTTCTGTAAATAGCAATCAAGTTTTTACTCATATAATGCTTAAGAACATAATAGTAGAGCCTTTAAAATTTTTCTTTTCTATTTTCCATTTCTATTTACTCTTCCTTAAAGCTAGGTACTCAGTGATCCCTAGGAAACTCCTCTCTCAGTTGTCATATTACAAATAAATAATCTCATCAGTTTAGAGCACAAAAGATCCTAAATAATAATTCCTCCTGATTTTATTTATATGTTTAGTGTCATAATAGAGTTAATATTTTTCTGTTTTCCTCATAAAAGTCAAATAAATGACTGTCACAAATTTAACCACAGTTTCCAAATTCACTTTAAAAATGCTGAGTGAAGACAGATGAAATGTGGGACTTACAGTTTCCTCTACCTTTGCTTGTGAGTAGGGTAGATCTTCGCTTTTGCCATCGTGTGCAAGTATCATGCTTTGCCAGTTCAGGGTTATGTTTATGGAATGCACCCACTTCAGAAGAAAAATAATTCGGGCAAATGTGAGTCATAGCATTTCTGTCTCTTGGGGGATAAATTTTAAAATTCAACTTGCAATTTTCCTGCATATACTTACTATAAGTTTTTAAAAATTCCACATGAATTTACTTTTATATATTTTTATTTTGTTTATTTATTTTTTTTCAGTGTTTGCTATAGGACACATGTGCTCTTCAGAGAGAGAAAGAGTGGAAAAGTTAGAAATCACTCCCTGAGGGAATGATCACACTGCAATCCTTTCTCCTGCATTCTCATCTCAGGATTTTGGGCATGCACATGGTGCACCCCACATGTTTTTCAAGCTATCAGGATAGACACTCGAGTGTTGTAGTCGGCCATGAGGGATCCAACCACCTTAACCTCCTTGCCACAAGCTGTCCTTACTTTTATTTTATATTTCTTCATTATTATAATCTTTATATATATATTTATTTATTTTTGTAGAAGTTTTTTACTATTGGGCCCATGAGCTCGCCAGAAAGACAGAAAGACAGAAAGCAAGAAATCACCCCTCAGGGGGAGGACCATGCCACAATCCCTTCTCCTCCAATCTCCTCTGGGGATCTTGGGCATGCACGCACACACACCTGGCGTGAGTTTAAGCTACTGGGTCTGGGACTCGAACTGCGGTCGACTACATGGGAGTCCAGTGACATAGCCATTACACCAACTGCTGGTCCCAATAATCTTTATTTATTATATATATAAAATATTTATTTTGCTACAAAGTATTTGTAGCAAGATCATATTTATTATTAAAATGAGTTAATTCATAGCATATAGAGAAGTATAACATTAAAATAAAAGACACTTAATATAGTGAAAAAGGCTTATAAGGAAATATATATGTTTTTAAATCACATATCCACATATATTAGCTTGGTGACATCACAAATAGTTTAAATTTTGCATCCCAGTTTCCTAACCTACTTAAAAAGAAAGAATGAGAAAAGGGCATCAACACTACTAGCATAGATAAATAAAAATAAAATAAAATAAATATTGTAGAGTTAGTGTCATAATCATGTCATTAAGTAAATAATGCTAGTATATCTAATTTTCTCTTTAGTGAAGGGAACATAAAAGCAAAAATAATATAAAAGCTAAAATAATAGGATCTGAAGTTTTAGGATAAAAAATAAAAATGATTTTGTTCTCTTCTTGAAATGTTTATTATTTACTGAGTACTTAAATGCTTAATAATATAAATAAAATAACATGGATTATGTTTTTTACCTAAAAATTGAACATGAATATTGTTTGCACATATAATATATAATTCAATTATTAAAAGTGTAAAGTACAGAGTGTAGGTCTCAGTTTATGAATGAAAAAATTCAATCTTAGAAATGGCCAAAATTGAGCTGGTAGGTGGTGTGGTGTTGGGGGCACTGGATTCCCACATGGTTGACCATGGTTTGAGTTCTGGACCTGAGGGCTTGCTTTCTCACATTCCCTCTTCTCTCTTTCTCTTTCTCACGCTGTTCCTCTCTGGTCAATTCTCACATTCCCCCTTCTCTCTTTCTTTTTCTCACTATGTTCCTCTCTGGTCAAATCGAAATGAATACATAAATAAATAAATAAAAGATAAATGAAATGGTTCTTTGTTAAAAAAAAAGAAAGAAGGAAAACCCCAAAATTATATTGATTATTTAATAGAAAGTGAAAATGGTTCTTTGTTAAAAAAAAAAAGAAAGAAGGAAATGGCCAAAATTATATTGATTATTTAATAGAAAGTGACTAACCATAAGTAATATATGACATTTTTAGGATAAACATTGTATATACGTTCATATGTATAATGTCACATAAGTTGACTATCACAGAAATCCATTATGGTAAACATGGCATGTTTTATACTTCTGTTTGACAGGAAAAGAAACTAAAGTACAGAGAGGTTATGGGTTGCCCCATCTCAAAGTTCGAAGGTGGTAAAAGTTTGATTAAAATTCCATTCTTTTAACTCTGCAACCTAATTCCACTTCACAATCTCTTGCTGCTTCAAACTTAGGTGATTTTACTGCAGGTAGTTAGTTAATGAGATCAAAAGAAAATAGCTCTCAAGTTTTCAAAGACATCATTTAAAATATAACGTGGACAGAATGTAAAATGAACACGAAGTGAAACAGAGTAAATAATTTTCCTATGTTTATTTAAACATCTAGATATCTTAAAAATTATACAGAAGCAGAACTACACATTTGCACGGAAAGTACATACCTTGACCGTGATGAGATCTTCGATCGCGAATCAACCCCATCATATATAACTGAAATCTACCCCAGAGGTGAATTCAGGATTCCTAAATAAAAGAAAACTGGGAAATTTTCTTTTTTTTCTTATGGTGAAGTAAAACATTTTGATAGGAAAGGTGAGAATGCAGAAATATTGCCCAGTACATATTAAAAAAGGAAAAGAAATTAGAATTCATTTAAAGCTATGTGAAATTAATTTTATTTTATACATTTTTCCTTATTTTGAGATATTATCCAATTATTTCAAAGAAAGTCATAAAAGTAATGAAAGTAATGAGTTTTTAAAATTAATTTGATTAATACATTAAATAAAAATACTTATAAAACTGATTTTGAATAAAAACATGCATAGTTTCTGTTTATAATGATTTATTTTACTTGGTAATAAGTGATTTATTTGCTTTGCTGAATGTTTATCCTAGTGCATTTTAATTCAACTTTTGTTCATAAAGAAACCATCATTAAGGCAACAAATTATCACCATCATTATTAATAAAAGTAATTTTAGATTTGTTTTGCAACAGTTCAGTGCCCAGGAAAGCCCCCCCCCATAAGTATTTAATAAATATGCATTATATTTAGGTCTTTAAAATAAAACCTACTTCATACTTGATTGTGATAGAGCAACACATGTGACTTGCTACATTTTGCAAATTCTGAGTCACATAAAGTGCCGTTCACAAAGTCTGAAAACTCCTGTGAGAACTCCAATTGAAATTCAATTTTTTTCGTCAAAAATATAAAGATTTAGTCTTCTAATTTTGTTTAGATACAAGTCACCTTCTTAAGGCAGCATCATAATTTCTGATTCTTCAATCAGTATAACCTAGTTACCTGTCATCAAATACAGTGAAAAAGAGTAGAGTTCAAAAGTGGTAAGCATTCCCTTCCTCCCTCAATAATTCTATTCAATAACTTAAAAATAATTGGTATTACCTTAAGTGTAAATATTTTAAGAAAATTTCTTAAGGATGAATACAGTTCTTTACTTCATGAATAATAGTTGTAAAACTCCCACACTCGCATACATACAGCACACACCTGATTAGTGAAGGAAGGTAGGTCCTAATTCTTGTAGATAAGAGCCTTCTTTAGAGCTAGAAAATTAAAACATGTCTTAAATTACAAAGTTAAAACTGAAAGTAGAGATGCCCACTTAATTTTGATGTGTGAGTGAAATGTGCCAAATGTTATTTTAATCTCATCTTCCTGTTGAGGAAAAACCATAAACCAAGATCCTTCTATCTACCAACCACTGCACAGAAAATCTGCTAATTTGGTGGATGAGAGGTAAACATCCGTTGCTAGATAAATTTTAGCGGCTATAAACATCTTATGGCTCAAAAATTATGAATTAGTTATAGGAAGTAACAGGGTTTGTTTTTTTTTTTTTTCTTTTTTGGGAGTTTTTTGCTATAGGGCGCGTACGCTAGCCAGAAAGACAGAGAGAGACAGAAAGACAGAAAGCGAGAAATCACTCCCCTGGGGGATAGCCACACCACAATCTCTTCTCCTCCATTCTCCTCTTGGGATCTTGGGCATGCATGCACACGTGCTTGGTGTGAGTTGAAGCCACTGGGTCCGGGATGCGCACCGTGGTCAACTATATGGGAGTCCAGCAACATAGCCATTACGCTAATTGCTGGTCCCTAAGAAGTAACAGAGTTTTGAGAAATAAATGATGGCATTATGTGAAGTCTTCTTGAATCAAAAGTGAAAAACTATAAAATTATAAGAACTATGTGAAAATTAACAGAGAAGAAAATTAAGTAAAAATTCTTCTGGGCAAGAGCTGTTATAAATTTGAGTGGAATCAAGTATGTCATATTATGTAAACTGGAAATACGTTTCACATACACATACACACACAAGTGTTTATTGATATATCTGATCTTTTAATTATGAAAATATAAAATATATACAAAATAAAAATTTTATTTTTTTAGAGAGAAATTTTTGATATGGGGCATGTGAGTTTACCAGAGAGATGGAGTGAGAGAGAGAGAGAGAGACAGAGAGAGAGACAGAAAGCAAGAAATTACCCTCCTCTCCTCAGGGAGGATGGCCTTTCTACAATCCCTTCTCCTCCATTCTCTCGGAATTTTGAGCATGCACACACATGTGCCTGGCTTGAGTTTTAAGCCTCTGGGTCCAGGACTTAAACCACAGTCCACTATGTGGGAGTTCAATGATGTAACCATTATGCCATCTGCTGGTCCCCAAAATAAAAATTTTCATGAAAAACCGTTAGAAACCTCTCTTAAGTAATTATCAATTTTTTCTCTCTATTTTGGAGACGTTTTTGCAATAGGGTGCATGCGTTCGCCAGATGGACAGACAGAAAGAGACAGAGAGACAGAAAGCGAGAAATCACCCCCCAGGGGGGATGGCCAGGCCGCAATCCCTTCTCCTCTGTTCTCCTCTCAGGATCTTGGGCATGCACGCACATGCCCCTGGCGTGAGTTTAAGCCACTGGATCCAGGACTTGAACCGCGGTCGACTACGTGGGAGTCCAGCGACATAGCTATTACGCTAACTGCTGGTCCCAGTAATTATCAAATTTTGTCAGAATCATTTCATGTATAATATATGTTGGCATTACAGATCCATCTCTGCTCTTGTAGTGTCCCTTTCTCTTTTTTTCTTTGTAGATCTTACTCATCATATTACTATTTTTTCATCACTCAGAACAATTGCACCAAGTTCAATGCCAGAAAAGCAGCACAGTCTACTAATATCTTAGTGTTCTGACTTTTAGCTACTCATAATTTCTGTACTTTAAAAATGATAAGAAAACTATCACAATCTAAAGGAGGCCAAAGAGACATAACAAATAAATGCCATGTGGTCTCCTAGATAGGAGAATGAAACATTAAAATAAACAAGAAATTGGTAAAAACCAAACAGGCACAAAAGACCAGGTATCATCTTTTTTTTAATGGCTGAGTAATATCCCATAGTGTACATGTGTCATGTGTCATGTTTTCAGTCCAGTCATTCGTTCTTGGGCAGTTAGTTTGATTCCATGTCTTAGTAATTGTGAACAATGCCTCAATAGATCTGCAAACCTTTCCAACTGAGAGTTTTTCAGTCCTTTTGGTAAATACCCAGGCATGATATTATTGGGTTGTATGGTAATTCTATTTGTAGGTTTCTGAGAAACCTCCCATTGTTTTCCACAGTGGCTGTATTAACTTACAGTCCCACCAACAGAATGCTTTGCCAGCAATTGTTATTCTTTATTTTTTTAATCATAGCCATGCTGACTGGGGTAAAGTGTCATCTCATTGTTGTTTTGATTTACATTCTGCTTATGATAAGAGATGTTTAGTATTTTTTCATGTGCTCTTAGTCCATTCATAGATCTTCCTTGGACAGTTGTCTGTTCAGCTCATTTGCTCATGTTTTAATTAGATTATTTATTTATTTATTTATTTGCAGGTAAGCTGCTTGAGTTCCCTATATATACTGGTTACTAGTCCCTTATCTGAAGTATAGTTTGCAAATATTTTCTCCCATTCTGAAGGTTGTCTCCTCACTCTAATTTTTATTTTTTTTTGTTCTACAGAGCATTTTTACCCTGATGTAGTCCCACTTGTCTATTTAGGGGACTAATAGCCTGTGCTTTAGGGGTCTTACTTAAACACATCATATGGAGAAGATGTAGAAGTTTGAATATACACCCTGTGTATTTTTATATTAAAAAATAAAAATATTTGTATATTAAAAAATAAGTACATAATACAAAAGGTAACACCTATTGACAAAATTGGCTAAATATACATTTTAGTTTTGATTGTGATAATATTTAAGGTAAAGGAAGAAGAGATGAACACATTACAAAATTATAAGAAAAAAGCAAAGTTATCACCTAAAACTAAAAGAGAGGGTCAGCAGGTGTCTTTGTGGTAAAGGTGCTAGATTTCACATGACTGACTCCATGGTTCCATACCGAACATAGTGGCTTCAAAAACAATTCAGGCGCTTGTGCGTGTATGCTGAGTCCCCCGAGGAGCATGGAGAAGGGATTGCAGTGGGATCATTCTGCTTCTGGGGTGAAGTCTCACTTTACTTTTTTTCTGTGTGTCTCTGGTGAGTGCATGCACTATAGCAAAAATCTAAAAAAATCTTTTAAAAATATACTAACATAACATGTAGTGATATGTTAAAGCTGTACAAGAAACAAATTAATCTAGCACTTTCTTTTTAGTTAATACTGTTTCCTAGGCACTCTTCTAAGACTTGAGAATGTCAAACAATCCAGCCAATTTTTTTTTTTCTTTCATTGAGTAGGTGTTTTAGTTAAAGTGATAGAAAGTAAGTAAGTGCAATACAAGATCAAGAGCAAACAATATAAATTTAAAACAAGTTGAAGAACAAAACAGTAATATTATTTTCTTACACAAGTATAATTTTCAGCTAATCAACATTTTCCATTGACATTTGTATATATTAAAATTTGATCTAGATAGAGGAAATGTAAGCCCATATTTTCTTATAACTACATTTTTTTTTTTTACAAATGTTTGGTTTAAGAAGGAAATAAATAGATGCTAAATGTGAGTTTTTTTATGGGGAGCCCCAAATCACATTTGAAGTGTTACATTTAAATTTATAGCTTTATATTTAATTGACACTATTTTTCTCTAAATACAAGGCTGATCAATGAATGTACAGAAATAGAATAAAAACAGAACATTTGAATATCCTATCCATTTCGTTTAGTTCAAACAGCAATTGGCAGCTCTGGGGGTGTCCACACAAACGTACCTACAAGAAGTATTCATTGAAATAAATACTAAACAATATATATCATATGGTAGAAAAGATTCTTAAAGAGGAAACGTCTGAGATTAGTTTTTTTTAATTACTTATGTAAAGAAACAATATGTTTGAAGAGAATCCATTTTCTTTCTCAGTGTTGCTCAGATACTCTTTCTTTAACTGTCATCATGGAACATTTATTAAGGGTTTATTGAACCTTAGTAATGGCTTATGAAATGCAGAATTATAAAAGGACATGGCATAGATTTCAGGAAACATACATCCTAATATACTGGATAAAAGCAAAAAAGTAAATTTATAGAACAATAACGATTTCCTCAGAAAAGTACGGGTATGGGCCTCATATGGACATATGTATCTGACCTATGTAAACCATTACAGAAGACAAGTTACAATGCTTTGCAAACAGCCTAGGACCAAGTCATCTGAAAATCAACATGACTCCAACAATATCTATATTAGTGAATTGTTGTTATATATTTATTGATATGTATTTAGAAACTGCCATGGTTAGTTGAGAATAATGACTGAATCCTAATCAACTGGCTTTCTTGGCCAGAAAGCTGTAGGTGTCTTTCCTGGCTGAATGAGTCCTAAGCCTTTCCTAGTACCTTGGAGGAGTTGGGGCTGAGGCCCGGAGCACCTTTGTGGTGAGAAAATGTGCTCTGGACAGGATGCTTACGTCAAACTGAAACTAGTTGCGGTCAGAGGTGTTTACTAGACAGTGTCCAGAAGTGAAAGCACACCATGTGTGCTCAGAGTTAAGTAAACATTTTAAAATCTTGGCTTTTTCCTAAATGTGTTTGAATAAAAAGAAGCATGTGAAAGGGGAAAATTTTAAAACTCACATGGGTAATAAAGTAAGGAAAAGGGAACAGGAGAGATAGATCTGAGCCTTGGATTTGCATGGCATGTTGGAGCAGAAGTAATGAGAGTTATAAAGTCTGCAAAGCTATTGGGAGAAGTATTTACTCAGAACTTAATACTCATTCAGCAAGGTGTTTTGTACCAGCCAGGCACAGGGAACGTCAACTAGTACATTGTATAGGATGAACGCAAGACAGAGATTCCATAAATCTTGAATGTATACTTTGGGAGAGGGCAGTTAACCATCTGTCACAGTACATGGACCAGAAATGTTAAATAAGTTTTTGGCTTCATTGTAGTAGAAACTTTGTATAATTCTAAAAATCAGTAAAGACTTCTCAATATCTGATGTATTTTCATTATATTAGTTCATGTTAAGACTTTTTAAAAATTTCAATCTACATGATAAAATAGAACAGAAAAGTCATTATTATATTATGATATTATCTCTAAAACTGTGAATAAATAGCCATA